TCATTTGTTTATAGCTTTTTAAAATATAACATATTCCAGAGCCATAGTACAGAATCTCAGAGGGAAGACGGGAGTGGGGGGCGGGGGGCGGGGGTGGGAAGAGATCAACCAAAGAACTTGTATGCGTATACATGCATAACCCATGGACACAGAAAATGGGGTGGTGAAGGCCTGGGGTAGGGGGCTAGAAAGGATGAATCAGGGGAAAGGGGGACATATGTAATGCTTTCAATAATAAAGATTTAAAAAATGCAACCTTATAATCCCACTAAGATTGGGAGGAATCTGAGAGCACTGGGCACCCTCCTGTAATGTTAGAAGAGCTTGCTTCCTACGGGCCCAGGGATGGGATCAAACATGAACAAAGGGTAAAAACTGGGGGGAAACGTTGAATTCAAGTATTCATCTCTGAACTTGATGCCGTTTCGTGTTACTAACTGTCGAGATTCTTAATGATGTTTCATCTGTAAGTGGATACTTGAAAGATGGGATTTTAAAATCCAGTAACATTGCAGGGTCATTAAGCTGACACTCTCTAAGTAATTTGTCTCCATTGCTCCCTGAAATCAAGATCCCTAAACATCGAGGTTAGGCAGCAGGGCATATAAAATATAAGTATGCAATAATAACCTGCTTTACATAAAGCAGAGAGTCTTCACTTACCCGAGTGAGGCGGAGCCACAGTAAGGCTTATCATGAAAGAATGGCGGGCCTGCAGCCCCTTCATCTTAGCCACGCAAGTCAGGTTCCCACTGCCTGTCGGCGTCAGAGTCAGGATGCTCAGGACACTTGTAGGGTCGTCCGGCTCCAGAACGGAGCGAAAGCTTGAATCGCTCACGGGGACGCAGAGCTCCCAGGAAAGTTCCGGGAGCGGGTTCCAGCCCACCGCACGGCAAGTCACATTACAAGGTTCATCCTCAATGACTACGAGACTGTCAGCGTGAACGAGCAATTCCCCCACAACTAAAGAAGAAAAGAGAAACATTCTGAGGGAATGGCCACGCCTCTCCGTTCCAGGTCTGCTTTCATTTTTCCTTCAATCACATTGCAGGAGTACTACCTCCCCAAACCCAGAGTGGCCGTGGCCGTAGTGGGAAACCTTCATTCAGCTTCTAGCTATGTCTTTATTTGTACTGTCCAGACCCACAGAAGAAAGTGAGATTGCTCACCAGAAATATATAATTCCAGAGACATGAATAAAAATCAGGGTCCAGAGCAGTATAAACTATATGGAAAAGAGAGGACAGAGGTGGCTGCCATGGGGGCTGGACAGTCACTAAAGTTGTCCTGAGCTGCCTGGGAGCCAAAGCAAACGGAAATAACCTTTACCTCCTTTTCATTGTAAGGTGAACACATCATGGGGAGTCCCTTTGGTCAGTCGTATTCTCTTTTTTTTTTTTTTTTTTGAGGGGGCGGGGAAAAGGCAGTCCATATTTTTAAACATAACTTTCTATGATAGGTCTTAAAATATTTTTCTAGTTAAACATTAAATCAACATTAAATCCAACAGAATTAAAGAAATAACTACCCTCAATCACAATCAGAATATACTGTTCAAATAAATTTTTATCTTTTTTTTTTTTTGTCAGATAAATTTTTTTAAGTTCTATTGAGGATCCACTCCCACGTGCCAGTGTCAACGCTAGAAATAACCCATCTGAAGATAACCCTGGTGTGTGCCAATGTCACCAAAACCACCTGAGGTTGGCCCGGTAGAGACAGCCTTACTGAAACATAGATGCAATGAAACGCCCCAATTAAAATAGTCGAAACTCCCAGCTACATAATCTAAGGGAAAGAACACTGGACTAAGAATCAAAACCTCTGCCCACAACCCTGACTTTGCCACAACGTTGGCATCGCCTTGCACAAGTCACTGAGATTTCCAGGCTGCTTTCTGCCCGTCGAACGAGATGATTTGACCAGATTAGTGGTTTCCAATCCCTATGGCTTCCGTACCTCAAACACTCTTACAGATCCTGGAGGACTCCAAAGGCCTTTGTGTATGTGGGTTATATCTATCAAGACTTATCATGCTTGAAATTAGAATTAAATATGTGTTTATTTTTCAATATTCAAAAATAATAATAATAACCCCTGACATGTTAATAGAGATCAATATATTTTTATAAAAAATGCCTACATCTTAACCAGAAACAAATGAGCAAGAAGGGTGATACTGTTTTATGTTTATGCAGCTCTCTTCGGTCTCCTGCCAGACCCTCATCTCCTCTGTATCCCGTCTGTTGTGATAGATTGCTTTGTTTACATTTTACAAAGAAAATCTGACTTCACAGAGATATGCTGAAGCAGTGAGGAGCAGGCGTAGGCTTTCCAGATACCCATGGGCATTCTCTGATACTCTACCCACACCTGACAAGTAGTGGCTTCTGGAAGGTCAGTTGCGCTGTGGAATCTGAAACTATACAAAGAAGCCCTCACGGTCTGTTATGTTAAAATCCATTGTCCATCGGGCCCTTTGAATGGCTCTTTTTGCCCTGACACATCAATCCCTTGGAAACCACTGGCCCACTGAGTTCCAAAACCCTCCCCAGTGTGCAGCGGAAAAGTCCCTGTTCACACGTGAACGTGAGAGTGGCCGTGGCACCGAATGTCTTAGTATTGTCATGAAAACAGTCGTGACCTCACAGACCACGCAAAGGGCCTGGGAAACACCCAGGAAATCCCAGAGGAGACTGAACTGGATCTGCTCTGAAAGCTCCATCCCAGGACTCAGAAATGCTCAGTTTCTGGATACTGTACTTCTTTCCTGAATGGTCCCTTGGAGCAAGTAGAGCACCTTTGCTAGGGATAGGACTACTGTACACGCAGCCGTGAGAGGGCACCGGATGGGCCCTCGAGCAGTGAGAGGGCACCGGGTGGGCCCCACAAGGCCAAAGGGTTGGTCTTTGTTCTTTTTGGCTTGTTCATTGCTTCATTCAGTGGAGAAGTTTAGGTTGGCAGAAACCGGGAGGATTGGCATTGGCTCAGTTACTAACAGAAGAAACTGGCCCTCAAAACACAAGAGGTCTAGAGTGTGGTGTGTGATGAGTGGGTGGACTGGGCAATGCAGACCCTGAAGGAGGCATTTGCTTTTTCTGTGTGTATGTGTGACTCAACTTTCCCCATTGGCTTTCATGACCCTTTTATAGGAGGTGACAGAACATTTTACATAGATGTTTGGATGACTTAATATGGAGTTATGTAAGTTCTCTTTGTTTTTCTTTCTTTTTTTATATATTTTATTGATTTTTTACAGAGAGGAGAGGAGAGGGATAGAGAGTTAGAAACATCGATGAGAAAGAAACATTGATCAGCTGCCTCCTGCACACCCCCCACTGGGGATGTGCCCACAACCAAGGTACATGCCCTTGACCGGAATCGAACCCGGGACCCTTCAGTCTGCAGGCCGACGCTCTATCCACTGAGCCAAACCGGTCAGGGCAGTTCTCTTTGTTTTTCTTGTTGATCCTTGAAGAGAACAAAATGATCTTTAGATTACTTACTTTCAAGATAAAATTGGATGCTTCCTCTTTTTTTCAAAAATCTTGAAAGAGACCCTATTGCTCACAGAACATTTTTCCTCTGAGAAGAAAGTGCCATTCAGGCCAGGGGAACCAGGCTCAAATGATCAAGTTCAGTTCTGTTCTATGGGGTCCTCTGTCCTACGGGGTCCATGGGGAAGACTTGAACTTCCCAAGACACTCATTCTTCTATTTGTTTTAAAACTAAAAGCTACAGTAATGATTAACTTGTAAAACTTCGTGCCTGAAGACACTTTATAGATGTATAGTTTTTTTGTTTGTTTTTTAAAATATATTTTATTGATTTTTTACAGAGAAGAAGGGAAAGGGATAGAGAGTTAGAAACATCGATGAGAGGAAACATTGATCAGCTGCCTCCTGCACACTCCCTACTGGGTATGTGCCCGCAACCAAGGTACACGCCCTTGACCGGAATCGAACCTGGGACCCTTGAGTCCACAGGCTAACGCTCTATCCACTGAGCCAAACCGGTTAGGGCAAGATGTATAGTTTTTAGAAGATGTATGCACATACACTTAAGCATTGGATATGCCAAACACATAGTAGTAATAGGTCATGCCTTGGTCCTGTTTCCTTGATCCAGGAGTGCCCCCCTCCTCCCTCTCGTCCCATGTTGCATCTCCAGACCTTTGAGGCACAGTGCCAATGGCCCCTTCTCTCTGGAGTCCTCCTTGTAGACTACCGATTCTCTCACCTCCTTCCTAATTCGAACATGAGTC